GAATGTAATTTTTTTTAGAGATTTTAACTTATGATTATTCATTTTGGAGAATCTGTTGAAGGTGCTCTTACTAATAAAAGGGGGGGGGGACGTTTGGTTCGCAGATTATGAAAGAACTATTGCCATTTGAACCACCATCGATACGAACCACCGTCGGTCACCGACGATTACCACCAATCTGAACTACTGTAGGCCACCGCCACTGAACCACTGTCATCTGAACTACCACCGATCCGAGCCACTGCTGACTATCACTTATCTAAATCACCACTGGCCACCGTCGATCACCACCAACCCGAACAACCACTGATCTGAACCACCGTCAATCACCACCATCCTGAACAACCAATGGTCTGAACCACCGTCGATCACCACCAACGTGAACAACCACTGGTCTGAACCACCGTCAGGCACCACCAATGTGAACAACCACTGGTCTGAACCATCGTAGGGCACCACCAACCTGAACAACCACTCGTTTGAACCACCGTCAGGCACCACCAACCTGAACAACCACTCGTCTGAACCACCGATCTAAACCACCCCCGATCTGAACCACCTCCGACCAACACCGAATTAACTATTTTACATGATAAATAATTAGCTATTTTTAAGACAATTTTAATATCGAGTTAGTAACATCGTTTGGTTTATGATTATATTTGAGTTGTGCATTTTATATTGATTTACACATTAAATAATTATTTTATTAAAGTATTTTTAGTTTTAAATTTTTCTAAAAGTTAAAAAAAAGACATTTTGGTCATTTACCAACAGTTCATCCAAATTCTAAAGCTACATTATATGAACCACACAGACAGATTCCAATTTTTTAACAGATTCTATTCCACCTGCCAACCAAATAGATGGTCAAACATGACAAGATTTAATTCAAATTTCTTCAAAATCAAATTATTTTAACAGATTCAATTTCATCCAAAAACATTTTATTAAGTGTTATTGTTTAACATACATTAAACTTTAAGACAAACTTTTGAAAATTCTAAAATTTGAAAATATTTAAAAAATTGATTAATGTTCTCCAAAATTTAATTAATATTAATATATATTTATACATACTATGTGTTTTATGAAATCCATGCATTGTTTGGTAAAAACAAGTTAACTTATTCTTTAGTTACACATTTGGATGACTGTAAGCTAGCTTATTGGAACGCTATTTGGAGTAACATTTTGATAACTTATTATAACTCTCATTAATACTAATTATTATTTTATTACTATTAATAATAACTAAATATTAATTATATTAAATATTAAAATAAAAATAATTATTACTATATTAATAAACATTAAATAAAAATAAATTATTACTATATTAATAAATATAACCATACATTATACGATATACATTAATATTAATTATTTACAATAGTATTAATCACATCAATTATTTTTATAATTATTATTCAATATATTTCGTTATCAAAAAGTAAAAAATAATCTGTTTTAAAAATATTTACATAAATTACATAAAATTATTTATTTTGTTTTACATATAATAAAAATATGTTAGATGATTCTAATAATCTATTTAATTTAATTATCAATTATATATTTTGAAAAAAAATATGAATTAATTAGAAATATATGAGATTGACATTTTTATGTACATCTAATGGTTATTTAATATCATAAATCAAAATATTTTTTCTAAAATTCGTTTAACAAATCCAAAATTTATAATAATCACTTTGAAATTCATTTATTTAACATGTTATATCATTTATTTCTTATTATCTTTTTATATTAATTAACATATTATACTTTTAGAGCTTTATATTATAAAATATTGTAATTAATTAATTTTTTAAGATATCATTTTTGATCATTTTGTCAAATATGATTTGTTCATCAGTTAACTTATCAGTCATCAGCTAGTTTTTGTCAACCATGATTTATTCATCAGTCAGCTTATCAGCCATCAACTAGTTTATCAGTTACCAGTTAACTTATGAGTTAGTTTACCAAACATAGCCTTAAATGATTTTTTATTCGGTTACTTTGTTTATTTTATTTTTATATTTTAAATGACTATTTTGTAAAAAAAAAAAAAAAATTAATGGTGTAAATCTAATTCCAGTTATCCGTCTATTAATGGCGCATATTGAATAAACTGTGTAGATGACTATTTTTCCTTTATAGATGCATATTAAATATAACAATAAAATGTAATAACTCGTTTTATTATCTTGAATATATATTAGTATTTTTTTATTAATCTGAATATCCAACCCGCTATGCAAAGCCGATTAATCTAAAGACGATCAACCTGCTTTGCAAGTAGCTTAGAGTCACTGTGTTTGAATCTCCTTGGTCACCAAATGATTTTTATTTCTCATTGAATTTGAATACGAGAGCTCTAGACACTTTTGACATTTGGAGCTCAAACTCATACCAATCAGGCACCACTTTTGTGGCTATTACTTTTTTTTTTTTGTCATAACACAGATAAAATTACGTGATTTAGGACTTTTATGAAATGTTTTGAATTAAAAAATTAATATATAAATTATTAATTATTTAAAATTTTCAAAATTCATGGATCTATCTTCAATCAATAATTTAAGACAATTAATGATAGTTATTAAATAACACTTAATACATTTTTAGGAAATTCCGACTTCAGATATATCATTTTCATTATATTAGTTTTAGAGAAATACATGAAACAGTTTCATTAAAATTTCATAAGTATTATATGAAACAATTTCTTAATCATATATGAAATAACTTCATCAAAAAAAAAATATTATATGAAACAATTTCATAATTTTTTTATAAGATTAAACAACAAAAACGACAAATAAAGATGATTTACACGATTTATACAAATATAAATAATTTGTGTTTGATCACTTCTCTTTTTATATATAATATTTACATTAATCCTCATATGGTATCCAATGTATCTTTGTCCTTTAGTGAAAAATCTTGTTTTATATATTTGTAATTATAAAAGTTAAAGAAACATCAATTTTTGTCCTTTTTCCAACATATCAAGACCATTTTAATGGGCATCATATAATAGAATAAAATTAATATACATTTTATTTATTTACTTATATCTATTTATTTATTAAATATTAAGGACTCCAGATACAAATTGTGGCACACTGATCAAACCTCATGGGATGTAGTGGAAAATCTTATATACCTCGAGTTCAGGTCAAGATGCTACTGAAACCCTTTTACCAATAGAGGTACACTTGCGATTACTCCAGGCCATTCGTGGTCGTTCGGACCTCAACCCAGATAAAAATAAAAGTTAATAAGTCATTTTATAAAGGGCAAAAGGGTAAAATGAAATTAACATTTTATTCTACACAAAAAAAAAAAAAAAACTATATAATAAATAGTTGCAAGTTTCATTAATGTCACATATTTAATGCTAATGACAATAACATTAAATAATTGGTTGTGTTTAATGACTTATTTAACTATTATTGATTATATATTTTAAATAAAAATTGATTATGATTTCCTAATCCACATAGATATATATGCAATACATTCATATTGTAAATTAAATATACTGGTCTTCGTATATAGATACAGTTTCAAATACAAACCGTATTATTTATACTAATAATACAAATCTATGTCAATCGTCATTTAATCTAACAATCTTTCATAAATATTTAAATCATAGTAAATAAACTCTTATTACACACACATATATATAAAGGGAGGTTTAGAAGAAACTCAGAAAATGAAAAACTGAGGAATACACTGATAATTATTCATATAGACGATATACACAAATGCATACAAGTGATTTGAAGTTGTTTCTTACTTTTTACGCATATGTGTATGTTATGCACATGTGTATACCAGACAAATTTCTTACGAATTACTTGTACGTACCGTTTAGATGAACAGTTGTAGAGTTAGTTTTTCATTTTTTTTTTTATGATTTTCCCTAAATCCGACCTTATATATATATATATATAATATTAAAAAAATTATAATTAAAAATTAATAATTTAGATGGTAAGAAAACATCTTCAATAAAGATTTGTAATATTATTTTATTCTAATAAATATACTAAATTGTTTATTTAAAATAGAAAAGAAAAAGAAAAAGAGAAACTACAGCTCCTAAAGAATAGAGTAATTTTTAAAGTTCAATATTAAATAGAAAAAAGTTATTTTAACTATTATTATTTATATAATATAATTAATCTTAAAATATCTAAAAATAAAAATCCGTTACAATTATATTAGGAGAGTACTTGTATGATGCAGATAGATATATCTCGATTTTAATGTTTTATTTTATTCATTGACTCTATAGATATTTGTCACATTATTTTATTTTCTTTTAAGAAAACGATAATAATTTTATTTTTGAATAAAATAAAAAATTTTGAAAAAATATATCAATATTAATATCAAATTAATTATTTAAAAGTTATTTTTTTTCCGTAATTTCTTCAATTCAATTTTTTTTATCATAATTGACTTTAAGTTTAATAATAAAGTAATTTATTTTTGATTTAATAATATAATTTTTTATAAAAATAATAATTAAGTATTTTATTAAAATTTAATAATTATCGTAATATATTTTAGATGTTTTAAACTTAAAATGAAATGTTTATCGTATACTTTTATTATGTTTATTTACTGTTAGTTACACGAATTCAGACATAAAACTTTAATAAATTATACTTATGTATAATTCACTTGTTATCTTAAATTTTAAATAATATAGATAAATAAACATAGTAATTTATGTATAAAAAATAATTTTTAAAATTTTTTATCAAATATTTTATAATACAATATAGATAATTTATTTTAAAATTTTTAACTATTAACTATTAACTATTTATTCTTAATTTTAAATTATTTTGTTGTAAATTATTTGTTGAAAAGAATATATTTACAATAAATGCTCCTCAAAATGGTTAAAACCCCAATCCCTTATTCTCCTTAAACATAAACCACATTAGAACTCTCTCTCTCTCTCTCTCTCTCAACTGCAAACGGCTCCTCTCTCCGCTCCAACCAACAACGAAAAAACCATCTTTATCACCCATCTCAGATGCGATTCGAACCTTAGTATCAGTCGGTGTCGGAGAAGAGCAAGAGAAAACGAACAACTCAAAGAAAACGGAATCGAAAATGGGGAAGTATATGAGGAGAAAATCCAAAACTACAGGGGAAGTGTCGTCAATGGAAGTTCCTTCTCTCGGCGGTGTTCTTACCCGAGCAAAAACCCTAGCTCTTCAACGAGCTGCCGCTGCTGTTGCCACCGCCGGTGCTGGTTCTTACATTCAGCTTCGTAGCCGTCGTCTCGTCAAGCCAAATTCGCAGAAGAAACCGAAGGAGAACTGTACTCCGACAACAAACCCTAATAAATCTTCGTCAAGGATGAAGGTTAATTCTGTGGATTCTTGTGGGTCTGTTGAGAAATTGGTTGATAAGGAGGAAGAAAATCGCCAAGGAATTGAGATTAAGGGTAATTTAGAATTGGCAATTGACGATGAAGAAGCTTCATTTGGGGAAAACATGTTGGAATTTGAAGGTAGAGGAAGGTGGGTTTTTTTTTTCTTTTTTGAAATTTAATTTGGTTAATTGGAATATAATAATTTTATTCTCAAAATCTTAATCACAGAAAAGGTGGGGTTTCTGGGTTTTGCTTCTTTCTTCCTTGATCGAAATTCACCAATTAGGGTTTTTTGTGATCCTTCTGCCAGATTTGAGTTCTTAAAACACTTCTTTTTTCTGGAATTGAAGTTTTTTATTCATAAAAGAGTTTCTTTACCAACTGCTACTCCTTTTTGCTCAATGTAAATATATGAATTAGGGTTTCTTCACTTGTGGATTCTTGAGCAGATAAAATTGTTTCCTTGATTAAAAGCTTTTGAATTATCTTATCTTTTTTATCTTAATCATTCTATCTTTGGTTAAAAAACAGATACAAAATTGAGATTTTCGTCCTATTTCGAAAAAATTGGGTGGAAATTTTGAGATATGAACCAATATATGTGGGGATTTGGAATTTTTGTTTATTTAGTAATTTCCATCCCTGAAAAGTCTCTTCTAAAAGGGCTTTTTGGCTCTCTGTCATTCTCTGGTTGTTTCCAGAGACTGTTAAGGAAAAGAAAGTGAAGCAATTAAAAAAATCTTTCTTTTTTTTTCTCATAATTTTTCCCCATGTTTGGAAAAAAGTTCTGGGTTTCCAAGGAAGCGATGACGTCTGTTATCATCTTGGTACTTCAATCATTACCCCATTATCTAGGGTTCGTCTTAGGTATCATAAGTTTCTGAATTCTTCTGATATTTGATTGTTTTCTCTGTGATGCTTTCTTGGTATGTCGTCATCTTTCTTGATCAAATAACGGTGTTCTTGCTTTACTGCTTCAGTTACCTCTCTGGATTCATTGCTTACTGTCTTTTCTTCTTGGGTAGTTTTCAATAACATGTTCTCGATTAAAGAAATTGATCTTGATTAAAGAAAATTAATCTTGATTTATGTTACTGTATGGCCCTTGAAACCTTCTAATTTGTCTATGTGTCTTTATTTTTCCATGGTTTGTGTGCCAATTGAATCGGGTTCTCTGTTTGTTCTGATTTCATTTGTCTTTGTGAAAATTACAAAAGGATACATGTGGAGGTTGGGAATTTTGGCATAAATTTAGAAACTTGCATGAATGGTGTAACACCATAATATAATTACTTCTCATTCATCAACATATTGTTCTTTCTCTTTGATTCTTTTTCTTTTTTATATTATAGATATAACACCAAAGGAATCATTGCTTGTGGCAAGAATCATTTGTTTGAGGCATTAGATCATGCAAATTATGCTTTTTGGTTCTTTATTGTCATTAAGTAAATATAACAAGATTACAGGAATACCCTTCGGATTGTAGTTTGAAATGCTTCAATCATTTGGCCCTCCCGGATCCTTAGGGGATGGGGGTATTGAAACAAGAAGGTCATTTTGGTCATCTGGTGACAATTTTTTTTACTGGGGTCTCTGTTGTGTATGCAAACACCTCTTTGGAACTTGTAATTATCAGAATGTAATTCCTTTCTTGTGATACTTGTTTGTTTTTAAAGATAAAAACATGGTATCAACTATTTGTGAGCAACTGAGACCCCTGCAAACAAAGTTGCTTCCTTTGTGCTATTGTCTGCATGCACTATTCATTTTTTGTTTGATTACAGGCTAAAGTAATCTTTTTCTTCAAATGAACAGAGGATCTTGTTTTTGATTATGTTCTTTTGTTTTTGGAGGCTTCTTTTTGGCTGAAAAGTATTTCTTATTGATCCCTTTTAGCTGTTTAATCGATTAGTACTTCATATTAAAGATGGTTCATGGATGAATCTTTCTTGTGACAGGAGTACTCGAGAAACCACACCATGCAATTTGATCGGGGATCCGGATGCCATTAGAACCCCCGGTTCTTCTACAAAGCCGACGAAATCTAATGATGGCAAACGCAGGGTACAAAATACAACATCTAGGCATATCCCGTCAACTAGTGAAATGGACGAGTTCTTTACAGGACCAGAAAAGCAGCAACAACGACTGTTCATTGAGAAGTACATAGATATATTGTTACTTATCTTTTAGCAACATAATTATATAATCCCATCTGGGTTTGTTTCTTTATTTAATCATTCCGGTTTCCCAATTGTTTTTTGCAGGTATAACTTTGATCCTGTGAAAGAAAAGCCCCTTCGTGGACGCTATGAATGGGTGAAAGTTGATGGTACTAAAAAGAGTTGAAATCAGGTTTTGGGTTTCTTCTAAGTTAGCATAGTTGAAGATATAATTAGGAATATAGATTTAGGTTTATGTTATGCGGATGATGGTAGAGTATTTGTTAAACTCTCGTCATTCTTGTTTTGTTTGTAAAGAAAGAAGCAGGACCAACCCATCAAAAACCAGCCCAAATGCAGACTGTAGAACAGAAGATCTTAGCTTCTAACAGATCATCTACTAACAGGGGAATTGAAGAAGAAGAAGAAGGATGATGATGGTAGTCTTTTTTTTTTTGGAAAAAGGGGGATCCAATGACTTTTAGGGTAGTTTTTAGTCCCAATGGTACAGAAAGCTTATATTGGTCTGTGATTGTCTATAATTTGTACTGATGGAAACTTTAAAGATCCCTTTTTTCTGATATAAATTGACCCTTTTCTTCTTATTTTCTCTTTTATCATATGAAGTGATGGATTTGTTCATGTGAATACAAAACATAATGAATCTTGGATGTTTGAAAAATGGATATGATTTGGTGTGTTTTTACAGTGAGGCCAAGGATGGTTCAGAAATGGTTGGTGATGGTGGGGTGGTGGGGTAGCTTTCTTGGTGGAATAGAGTTGGGAAGAATCTTGTCTTCTCTATTATTGTGTCAGTCTGTACTTTATTTTATTTTATTCATTTCCATTTTATCTTTGAAAGCTTATCCACCAGTTGCATGTTTGTCTGCATATTACTTCCTAACTTTTCCTCTATGCAATTATTATGTACTCAATAACTAAGGACATCTTTATCACATGTGATAATATACGTGAAGGAACCTCTAATGTAGGTGGTGTCAAAGGTGGTTGATGTGGAACTTTAACAGTTTTAAATTAACATACTTTTATTATAATATTTATGAGTTGTCTAAGCAATAAACTTTGTTTGCCATTTTGTTTTGAATTTGAAGTATTTGAACTCTTGATTATCTATTTGACTCATTTAATTCACTAGTGGAAGCTTAACCATGATATATTGCCTCCCACTAGTGGTTTTAACTTTGACATTACTCACCCTCCCTCTTCTCAACTTATAGTGTCACCTTAAAGGGGTATATTAGTCATTTCATTAGAGTGCTCTTCCCATTTTCTTTATGTTATTAGTCATTACACAATGTTATAGAAGTTGAATGCAAATTTGAAATGGTGGTTGAATACTCTTTAATTTGAATACATCACATTAAAACCAACTTTGAAACATGTAACACAAATTATTCTTTATTACGTCAAGTCACATGCACAGTACAAAACCAGTAGCAACACCGAGGATAGTTAAGGACAGAAGGAATACAACCGAATTCGTCTTGTAGCTTGACCCTGGTTGCTTGTCCTCTTTCGTGTTGCTTTGTTGCTTGAGATAATTCTCCAATTTAGAGGTTGTGGTCTTGGACATATCCGAAGAAGGTGTCATATGATCAACCTCTCCGACATAATACTCATCCAACATCAGTCTTGCAGCGCTACCATGCCCTGCTTCCTCGAACTCTTCGCTTGCATTTTTACCTAATACAACCAAGATCAAAAACCCATCTTGAAATGCAAAACAAGTTTTGTTTTTTAGCTACCACATATGTACGATACCTGCTACAGCCAACAACACGTCATTCCCTCCAGGATGATCGTTCAAGAAGTTTGTAACATCATACACCTAACACAATTTAGCCAACTCAATCAAGTAACAGAAGCAAACAACAAAACAACACAGCGAAAAGGGGTTTAAGTCAAGTTTAACTGTTTCTTACGCGTGCGTTGATGATGACCCAACAATCTTTATCGTTATTGTGCACAAAGACATCAGCTAAATCGAAAACCTTGTTCTTCAAATCCATGATTGTGTTTCTTTTGTTTGATTGAGGAGTAGGATTTGTAGAACAAGTATGAATATTTGTTAGGTTTAATGTATGGAGGGTACATTTTATAATTCAATGTTTTTGTCTCTACATCAATGTACCATTAATTGATGTTTTGATTCTACAAATGATGTCATTTGTAATTGACACCTAACAATTAAACATTATAGGGCCATATAATAAAGGTAAAAGGGTACACCTAGATTCCCTAGGGATCAATAGGATATTATCCTCAATGAAGTGTAAATTAAATTAATTAAAACAGTTATTTTGATCTGATGATTTCACCTATCAGTCATTTTTTCACCGATTCAAATTTCAGACTTCAGACGTAAGAACAAACAATTTTACCGATTCAGATTTCAGACTTTAGGATCAACTCTTATAAATCAAACTTCAGATTTCAGCACCTCTTAAAAAATAAACGTCGTCATATTTTTGTGAACCTATTACAGATTTACATATTTGGTTCCTGCAGTTGCGGACTTGGTTCATAAACGTTTTTTTACACTTTGACACCTCCGTAAATTGCGGATCTATGACTATTTTTGTCTTTTAGCTAGGTTCGCAATATTGTGGATGTGGATATTGCAGACATAGTGATATTTGGGTAAACGCGGGAGATGAATGACCAAAAGACCAATTTGAACGGGTGAAATGACTATTTGAGTCAATTTCTCTTTAAAAAATCTAAATTATCTTAATATAATTGATTTTTTAATTAAATAAACTATATTAAAAACATATATTTTATTTTGTTTGATTTGATACTCGTATTCACATGTATTTTTTAAAAAATTTAAACTTGTTTTCAAAATTTCATTCATAAGTATATTCACGTACGAGATTGATATAATACTTTTATTATGTTGTATAATATTTACAACTTGTAGTTAATACGTCTGAACTTTGTAAGATTAACTCATGACGAACCGATAAACATGTTCAAATACGATATAAATGTTGAGTTATACTACGACAACATCATCAATAAAGTTGATAACGCTATAACAAACAACATGAATAGTAAAAACCTAATTGTTGCATTCGGTGGACAGCAAAATATGTATTTCTGATTGCTATCTCGTTACTTACGCTTCCAACGACATCCAGTGAGTTAATAGAGCGACTTTTGATACAAGTAATTAAATTCACCATCGATGAATTGACATATGACAGTCTTGAAGAATTTGGTGCTTGTTGAGAAAGAAACGCGAGATGAATCATAAAGTTTTAGTCGACGACAAAGGAGGCGAAAGATCGTGTGAGAATAAGAGTTAAGGTGAGAAGCGTAAGAAGAGATATGAACTCTTGATCACCTTTAATCTCAAAACCGCCATGAAGTGCGCTTGATACGAGGATTGATCCGGTTCATATCTGTGCATATCACATCATACGCTTCTCACCGGAACCTATCCCCGACAAAGTAAGCACACACACACACACATATATATATACATACATACATACATACATACATATACATACACACAAATGATCGTGTGAGAATAAGAGTTAAAACGAGAAGTGTAAGAAGGAATTTGAACCTTTGATCACTTTTAATCTTAAAACAGCCATGAACTTCAAACGAGAACAATAACCAAATAAAAGATCATGAAGACGTCCGAATCACATGCATGGCAAATCACATATGATTTTACACTAATGGTCAACGCGAGGATGTGCTGGCGACGTGGGTCGCGACTTGAAGTCGCGTGAATCACATGTGATTTTACACGTGATTTGACCGCTTTCTTATTATCTTATTTGATTATTGTTCTCGTATAAACATAACTATATAACTATATATATATATATATTCAAGAAAAAGTCATGAAGAGGGACACTATTATCTTCTTGTAGATTTTTTTTACAATCAAACGACTCTGTACCGAATATATCACCATTGTAAACTCAGGGGCCGTTTACCAAACACTTACTTGGTAAGCGCTTATCGGTAAATTTAATACTATCATTTACTTACCGGATAAAATTTTAGTTCACCAAAACGATGTCGTATGCAACAATTTACCCGATAAGCGCTTACCGTGGTAAGAGTCGTCGTCTTCACTTACTGGGTAAGACTCTTGGTTATTGTCTCGTTCTTAACGGGTAAGATTTTTGATCCTTAACATATTTATCCGGTAAGGTAAAATGACTTGATATTCACTTCTCCGAGTAAGCGTTTGATAAACGACCCCTCATTCTCCAACTATTCGGATTATTTCAAGTAAACGGATAATACAAAAATGTTCTACTGCCAATATATCGCAATAAATTATTTTTGGGCTTAAACCGGACCAATTGGGGTTCAACACGTCGGAAAGGACTTATTTAGTTATAACTTTTTATAAAATAAAAGTCTAGCGTCGCAATTAAAACCTTAAGGTCCTAATTTGTCAATAACAAAAGTTTAAGGGGGGTATATTGACATAAATCCGGATGAGATTACTGTACACACTTTGCCCCTCCCCAAAGAAATCGAACCAAAAACAAAAGCTCTCATCGTTCCGATTCTTTACATCAGTCTCCTCCGGTATCCAAAACCCTAACCTTGGATCCAAACCTTCGTGTCTCCGTTGGATACAATCGAACTGAATCGACGGTGATTGTGTGCTGTTATTGAACGGTGGAACTATGGCGGCGACTATGGTGAGTTCCGCTGGCGGTCTCTTGGCGATGCTTAACGAGCCGCATCCGTCTCTCAAGCTTCATGCTCTCTCCAATCTTAACGCCTTTGTTGACTACTTCTGGCCTGAGATCTCAACTAGCGTTCCAATCATGTAATTATCATCATCCTTTTCATCGATTATGTAATTTTGATACGTTTCATGTTTTTATTTAGTGTTTGAAGTAGAGATTTGTCGTTAATTGTTTTTCTGCTGGTATTAGAGTGGGAAAAATGTGAGATTTAGTGTTTGGAGCTTGTTAATGTTAGAATCTTTGCTCAATTTGCAAGATTTTCAATCGACTTTTGGAAGGGTCTTGGTTTTATATGATGTTTATTTTCGTTAAGAGAGGGACCATATTTGAAAACGCTTTCTCATTGTAATCATTAGAGCTAGAGTAAGAGTTAAAGAAAAAAGTCGTCTTAATGCCTAATGCAGTATCTTGAGGATTGAAAGCTCATCTCGAGCTCAATTTTAGTAAGCTTTTTGTATACATGCTAATCTTTTGTTTGTTTGAGACGCCCTGTGTTTGATGATCATTAGACATTATGATCTTGTCTCATAGAAGTTGGTGGTAGAAGGCTAAAATGTCCGCTACCAGCCCTATGTGTTTTGGGGTGCTATATGTAGCACAGTTTTGTATAAGAAACCTTTAATACAATGTTAGTAAATTTCTGTGATGCTATTTTCCTAACTGCTTGCAAAGTTCTAGTGGTTTTACAAGCTGCATGTCCTAATTGTTCCAGTTGACACTGAAATTTATGATGGAGCTAGGTATATTAAAGAACTAAAGATAATCATTTAGTATTTATTAGAAGCAACTATTGCAAAGGAAAGGATACAAATAAGATAATGTTTAGCTAAAGAATCAAGCAAACAACTCGAAGTAATCACATCTTTAGGAATCTTATTTAGGTTTTAGGTAATGCTAGTATAGTTATGACTCTAGTGGAGATAGCTGCAGGAAAGAAGTGTCTTTTCAAAACTGTGGACTGAAGGATAATGATACATTTATTTGACCCTTATGCTTGAATTACTGAAACTTTCAAAGCTTGAACTTTTAATCTTTGCCGAAGCTTGGCTGGTAAATTATTGAGCAAGTATGCCCTTATTTGAAATGGTCGGGGATTTCTTAACTCGTGTTCACAATTATACTACAAAAGATGTTTTTCGAGAAAGTAATTATGCATCCCTGAGATATGCATAGGCTTGCCTATTTATAGAGCTTATCAATGCCTAAAATTCCCATCAATTTTATTAAAATTGAACAATCTTAAATTGAGGTTGCATTATTGACTTTCTTGCAATTAAGCCTAAACTTTCAGTTCAGCTTGTTAGTAGATGAGCTTGAGCTTATGTTATCCCATTGATATATACCACAACTTTTTTTAGAAATAGTTTACTATCATTGAGTAATTATTTCACAAAGTCAAACAAATAGTAGAGGCCAAGTGGTATTGGAGAGTGAAAATATGCGTTAGTTTACTGCAAAGCTAGGAAAAAAGAGCATAAACACACTTTGTTTAAAAGCTAACTGGTATCACTTCATCAAAAGAACCTGAAAATAGAGCCTAAGTTGGTCATCCATGTGATGTACTTTTCAAATTCACCTCGTCTACTTTTCTTGTTAGCTTTCTGTTTATTTGCTTAGAGATGTATGAATATATCAATATTCTGTTGTGCCTTTTGTGGTTTCTCCAATGGATTTATTGACATACTTAGGCTTCTTTTTTTTTAACCCAGAGAGAGTTTATACGAAGATGAAGAGTTTGATCAAAGACAGTTGGCTGCTTTACTTGTATCGAAGGTTGGACCTATTTCCCTTTTCTGCTGCTGTATTATTGCTGCAAAATTCGTCGTAGACATGGATATGCTTATCTTTCTGCATAAGGAAAAAATGCTCTCCAGTGTGTGTTTTATGTCTTTAATAGTTCTTTATCCTACCTCTTATAATGTAAGGATTATGGAGTGTGAATTGATGTAAATGTGTTCTTATTTCTATTACTCTTTTTTGATGCTTATATGTACACACACCATTATTATTTGTGTTATATAGGTATGAGGAACAACTCATGCCTTGCTTTTGTTATTCCTACTTTATTATGAATATGCTTTTTCTTTCCTGATCTTGTGAAGACATGAGAAGGAGATGAAAAGAGTTTTCAGAAGTATAGAGGAGTCCACAAAAGTTTGATGTGTGGGTTTTGGTGATTGTATTTCCATGGCAAATGAAGAGCCACAATTTTAAGAGAAAAAGTAATTGTGAATCCATTGTTACTGTGGTTATTTTTTAAACAGGGAGGTCCTATAATGAATTTCTTAATGAAGTGAAGTAAACTAACTAAAATGAAGACCTATATATTTCAAAATAACAGGGGTCAAGATCTGCGTGTGAGAAGGTTTGGAATAAGCTTTTCTGGCGTCCAAAGGGTTCAATGTAGTTATCCAATTAAGCCAACCATAAAATTCCTGTAATTGTTGATAGTAATTTGAATCCCTCTCCAATTTATTCCTGCGACATCAATCAGCACTTACTTGAGCGCTAATTCTTATTACCAATCTGAATTTAGAAGGTTGGTCGGTGTCTTCATTTCCCATTGAATGATTAAATGATTACTCCATTACTTGTATAATGTATATTATGGCAATAGCAGGGATCAACCGACAGACCCGCCTTGTCTGCAGGATGTGTTTCTCGTATGTTTATTATATGTCAAAAACATCTCATGCCTTTCTGTTGTGTAGGTATTCTATTACTTGGGAGAGCTTAATGACTCGTTATCATATGCCCTTGGAGCTGGCAGTTTATTTGACGTTTCTGAGGATTCAGATTATGTTCATACTCTTCTAGGTAAGTGTTCCTGCGCAAACACAATCTTTATTACTTTGAAATTGCTCTTGATATTATTGGTAGTTACCAAACATATCAACTCAGAATGTGGATTGATTGAAAGTATGTGGATACAACAGAAGGCTTGTAGTTCACATGCTTTATTCGTTTCAACTCATATTTCTTTCATCTGATGTTGTTCCTTCTTCAGCCAAAGCTATTGATGAGTATGCAACTCTGAAGACCAAGGCAGCAGAATCAAAGGAAGAATCTTCAGATGTGGACCCTAGGCTGGAAGCAATAGTTGAGAGAATGCTTGATAAGTATGTATGCTTTTACTTCTTCGTTTAGTTTGATGGGTTCTAGTGTCTTACTTCTTTTTTCCTTATTATAAATTTGTAAGGTGCATAACTGATGGGAAGTATCAACAAGCGATAGGAATGGCCATTGAATGCCGAAGGTTGGATAAGCTTAAGGAAGCAATTACAAATAGTGATAATGTTCATGCAACTCTGTCGTATTGCATGAATGTATCTCATGCTTTTGTCAACCGGAGAGAATATCGGCGTGAGGTAACAATATATAAATTTACAATCTCAGTTGATGGTACCCGATTGTTTGCTTTCTTTCTTCGTTATTCTTTATGGAAACTTGCAATTCTTTGTCCCCAGTTTCGAGGATCATATTTTTCATTTGCTGTATGTAGCTGATTCAACAATAACTTAAGTTGTGTGTGAGAATAAAATAATAGGGCGTGAAAATGTAATAGATTAGTTAGTTGCTATGGCTGTATTTAGCTGATGATTGTCTTTCCTTTCCATTTGGGCTAGTAGTGAATCTGTTAGCAAGCATGCTTACTCTAAAGCTTCTTGCTTTCTGATGTCACTAAAGAACATCGAGCTTTTGACAATCTGCAGCTAATGTTATGGTGGCTATTATTACTCATTGTATATTAAACATTAAGATACAAATCTGGAGTCCCCTTGAGTATTTGTTAATGTAATCCCATCAATCAATGCTGATTTATGTCCTAAACGAAATGATTGAATAATGAAGAGAATGTAGGTGCAGGCATACAGCTAACCCACTGTGTGAGTGAGACTGATGAACTAGTTCATCCGAAGATTTTAAAGTTCTGTATACATCAAAGCATCTGAAATTTTTCTGTAAAGCTTTGCTGGAAGTATCGACGGCAAATGTGGTCCTACCTGAATCCTGATTATATAAGAAAATTTATTAAATAAGCAAACATTTAGATAACCCATCTTCTTTGCAAGATTCACCGGCAGATAGGATTATAATTCCTTCTACCAAGAAAGTTATACCAATTTTTATGTGATGCTTGCAACATAAACTTACTGCATGCTTTCATGTACATTTGTCGAACGAATTCAAGATATTGAATGCTACCCGTAGGAAATGTAGGCCTCCAATTTGCTCACTTCATTCTTTTACTGACCCATGTGGAATGTGGTCAGGTACTTCTTCTTCTTGTCAAAGTATATCAGGATCTGGCGTCCCCAGATTACTTGAATATTTGCCAGTGCCTTATGTTTTTGGATCAACCTGAGGGTGTTGCTAAGATATTAGAAAAACTTCTACGATCTGAAAACAAGGATGATGCAATGATGGCATTTCAAATTGCTTTTGATCTCATTGAGAATGAGCACCAAGCTTTTCTATTGAGTGTGAGAGATCGGCTGTCAAGTCCCAAGTTGAAACCTGAACAGCCAACTGCCATCGAGACAGATACTGCTCAAAGTGGAAATCCATCTGTGTCAGAAGACACTCAAATGGCTGATGAAACCCAAGCGCCTACTGCTAATGTGCCTGAAACTGATCCATCTGAAGTCACCTATGCTGAGAGGTTGACAAAAATGAAGGGAATTTTGTCTGGGGAAACTTCAATACAGTTGACTCTCCAGTTTTTATACAGTCATAACAAGTGAGGAACTTTTTCATTATGGTGTTATCAAGATCAATTTTTTTTCGCTTTCTTGTCTCCTTTTCTTTTTGTTAATTGTCGAAAGATTCTTAATGTTGAAATAGGTCGGATCTACTTATTCTTAAGACGATAAAACAATCAATTGAGATGAGAAACAGCGTTTGCCACAGTGCAACTATATACGCAAATGCACTTATGCATGCTGGAACTACCGTGGATACGTTTTTAAGGGATAATCTGGTAGATATATTTTGTATTTTGTTACAATTCTATCTTTGCCTTTTAAACTGGTGGTTATCTAGCTTTATTGGCCTATCTAAACTTTGTTGACCGGATATGATTTCAGGATTGGCTGAGCAGAGCCACAAACTGGGCTAAATTCAGTGCAACAGCCGGGTTAGGTGTTATACACCGAGGCCACCTGCAGCAGGGAAGATCACTGATGGCTCCGTACCTTCCTCAGAGCGGGTCCGGTGGTGGTGGTAGTCCCTATTCTGAAGGTGGTGCCCTCTATGCTTTGGGATTAATTCACGCAAACCATGGAGAAGGCATTAAACAGTTTTTACGTGAGAGTCTACGCAGTACAAATGTTGAGGTGTTTGTTTGCTGCAACCAAAATTTTCCGCATGATTTAGTGCATCATACACGTCTTGACCTTTATTATGTGGTTGGCGCAGGTTGTTCAGCATGGTGCTTGCTTAGGTCTAGGCTTGGCCGCTTTAGGGACTGCCGATGAAGATATTTATGATGAGATAAAGAGCGTCCTCTATACCGACAGTGCTGTTGCAGGTGAAGCTGCTGGTATTAGCATGGGTTTATTAATGGTTGGAACTGCAAGTGAGAAGGCAGCAGAGATGTTGGTGTATGCCCATGAGACACAACATGAAAAGATCATAAGGTGAATTAGCGTCTTTCATTTGGTTCCCTGTAATATATCATGTCATTATGATCTTTATTTATGTTAACATTATAAAATATGTTGTGTAGAGGGTTAGCATTAGGTATTGCACTCACGGTTTATGGACGAGAAGAAGAAGCAGACACCCTAATTGAACAAATGACTCGTGATCAAGATCCCATACTACGTTATGGGGGTATGTATGCATTGGCATTGGCATACAGCGGAACCGCAAATAATAAGGCAATCCGCCAACTACTGCATTTTGCTGTATCTGATGTGAGTGATGATGTCAGACGGACTGCTGTTTTAGCCCTCGGGTTTGTCCTGTATTCTGAGCCAGAACAGGTTAGATACTATTTACCTTAACCTCGTTCAACAGTGTATTCGTTGATTCAATTGTTTCTATGTGGATCATAAATTCATAATTCAGTTTCTGTTTCTGGTTATCATTATTGTTCTCTGTTTTCATGTTAATGGTGGTTCGTGCATCAGTAGCGTCAAATAGGCTAGGGCAAATTTGCCTGGGCTAGGGCCTGTTTGTTAGCACCTTAATGAGCTTAATGGGTCTCACAACTTACTTGGTCAGCTACACATGCCTGTTTGGCAGCAGCTTAATGATATTGATAGGGAAACTGCTATGGATCATTTATTGGATCAACAACCAAATTGGCCTAAAGCTTGGGAGGTTTATTCTAGAAGGAGGTTTAGAGGGGGACACGTGTAGGGGGAAATGGGAGCAAGTTGTTAGGACTGAAGAGTGAGAAAGTGGAGGGAATAATATATTTTCTCTTGTTGGTCGAGCAGTGGGCAGGAGAGATTTTACGCTGTGTTTTAGTGAAATCGACTATCAGAAGCTTGGGCAAAAGGGTTTACCACACGGTGGTTAGCCTTTTGATTTTGTTCCTTCAATCGTATGAATACCAACTAGCAGCTATTCCCTTGTTCTTGTTTCCTTACAATCGAGTTCTTAGTTTTGATTCCTATCAGATATAAAAAGTAGCTTATTCAGTAAGCTTCAAGGAGGAGCTTTATGCAGAAAGCAAAGTTTTTTCCAAACCTATCTCCCCCAATTAAAAAACACGCTCCTTCCATCAATGAAAAAACCCTCTCAAACAAAGCCTTCCCCATCTATATCTTCAGATTAATCTACAAAGATAGCTTTATCAGCTTTATCCATACAGGACTTAATTGGAAACCAACCAAACAGCCTCTTACTCTCCGTTGGATCCCACATTGGCTAGACTTTGACCATCTATCCTCAGTATATGTTGGAACCTTCATTCTCTCTTCATGGGCTCTTTTGGAGAGGGATCTAAAGGGGTTCCACATATTCTCAATGTCTACTACTCTAGGGACTCGATACTCGGGACAATTTGTGCTTGTTTAGTCTCCATTGGAGGGGACTTGTCCACGGGCTAAGTTTAATCAACAGACTATCTAATTGAGTTTGGTCTTGTTTTTTTACTGCAGACACCACGTATTGTCTCCCTGCTGTCTGAGTCCTACAACCCGCATGTACGCTATGGAGCAGCCATGGCTGTTGGCATTTCGTGTGCTGGTACTGGCCTAAGTGAGGCCATATCTTTGTTAGAACCTCTAACATCAGACGTAGTTGATTTTGTCCGTCAAGGTGCTCTCATTGCAATGGCTATGGTGATGATCCAAATCAGCGAAGCTAGTGACTCTCGTGTAGGGGCATTCAGGTATCTTTTTTTTTTAAATTAACAAGTCTGCGTATGTATTCCTTTGTTTCTGCTTTTCTGAAACTATTCTTCCCTCATGCTTTCTTGAATATTTAATAGACGGCAATTGGAAAAGATTATTCTGGATAAACATGAAGACACAATGAGCAAGATGGGTGCTATTCTGGCTTCCGGGATTCTCGATGCAGGAGGCAGAAATGTTACCATTAAGCTGCTTTCCAAGACTAAGCATGACAAAATTACTGCAGTTGTTGGCCTTGCGGTTTTCAGCCAATTTTGGTACTGGTATCCACTCATATACTTCATTAGCTTAGCTTTCTCCCCCACAGCTTTAATTGGACTGAACTATGACTTGAAAGTACCAAGATTTGAATTCTTATCTCATGCCAAACCATCATTGTTTGAGTACCCTCGGCCCACGACCGTACCCACCGCCACATCAGCTGTGAAACTCCCGACTGCTGTTTTGTCCACATCAGCAAGAGCCAAGGCTAGAGCCAATAAGAAGGAGGCTGAAAAAGCTAATGCTGAAAAGTTATCTGGTGCTGACTCATCTGCTGCCTCGGGTTCTGGCAAGGGGAAATCTTCTGGTGAAAAGGACGCAGACTCGATGCAGGTATGTTTCTTTCAGTGTCATCTTTTCTTCTTGTTCTTCATGACTCCCATCTTCATTTGCTATCTTAGGGTCTGTTTGTTAGCAACTTGTTGAACTTAATAGGACTCGCAACTTATTCGGTCACCTATACATGATTGTTTGGTTGTGGCTTAATGACATAGAAAGGGGATTATTTAGTAAGCTTCTAGAGGGGAGCTTTATGCAGAAAGCCAAGTTTTTTCCAAACCCGCACCCTCCAATTAAAAGCACGCTTTTTCCATCTATGAAAAACCTTCCCAAACAAAAATCTTTCCAATCTATATAGATAGATTAATCCACATAGAGAACTTTATCCATACAGGACATAATGGAAAATCAACCAAACAGCCCCATAGAAGGGTCATTTGTGTATATGCTTAATGGGCTTCGGCAGAGGTTGTTTGTAAGGCCCCATGGCCCAAAGCAACATACTAACCCACTAACCTCCAAGGGCATCTAGATTCTCTAAAATGGGGAAACTGGAGATTTTAGGGATTTTAGGCTACTTTTTTGCTCTAACAGATTTTCTATAACTTTCACCACAAATGGAGAAAGTAGGAGAGGGAGGATAAAAAATCTCCAAATTCAGCCAACGCATAAAATTAAATGTTTCTAAGATAGATTTGTTTTTTTTAATGTTCCCTTCAATGAGGTTGAATGGATTATTATTTAAAAAATTCGAAGTTTGTCAGGATGATTAATATATATATATATATATATATATATAATATTTTAATTATATAATCTGTTGAAATCTTTAAAATAGAGAAACTGTTGGAGTTTGAGAGTAATTTTTTATGGAAATGACAAGAGAATCTGTAGGTGATGCTCTAAATCAACTTAAAAATATTGGTAGTTCACAATTTTGAACTTATAAGGAGCTCACATATCTGACAGGTTGATAGTCCTGCTGCCGATAAGGAGAAGAAGGCCGAACCTGAACCAACTTTCGAGATTTTGACCAACCCTGCAAGGGTGGTCCCCGGTCAAGAGAAATTTATTAAGTTCTTAGAAGACAGTAGATATGCTCCGGTGAAGGCAGCTGCATCCGGTTTCGTTCTCTTGAAAGACCTTCGCCCAACCGAACCAGAAGTATTGGCTCTGACCGATGCACCCACATCAACAACATCAGCGGCTACAGCCACAGCAGCAGCAACTGCACAACCAGGGTCAACTGCAGCCATGGCGGTGGATGACGAACCTCAGCCACCCCAACCCTTTGAATACAGCACATGATCACATCTCGGTTTGCTTTATTTTATCTGACTTCCTGCCTGCAAGTTGTTGGTGTGATATTTGCATCCGTTGAGCTGATACACGGGATTTAAGTCCGATCTGATTGGCTACATTTCAGGGATTAATGAATCAGAAACTGATCGATGTAATTCTTAAGAGCGGTCGATGTATAATGTGGTGAGGTCGGACAAGGACTTAGTGTGTTTGTTTAGTTTTATAACGACTGTTTATTTCCTGGTAGAGTCTAAAATCACTTAGTTTTGTACTTTTGTCAAAATGACCAACCAACTTGATCAATTTTATTGAAGTATGATGCTCTTTGCATAAGACAGGGTTAATTGAAGTTGGGCTTTTTCGGGACCCCGGCCATGCCCTCAAAATTTCAGCTTGATCGGGCTTTGAGCCTGCCTTGACCGCATAACTGACACCGTAAAATCTCCTTGTGCTATGAATGATTGTGACAGCTGTTAAAATCCTAGATAGCTTGTGCCTCTTAGGTTAACAAGATGGGGTTCGAGTGATTAGGAGAGCGAGACCCACTTATAAGAGGCTCGTGGGATTGACGTGAGTGGGAGCAAGAATGAAACTCAAAGTAATTGACGGGACCCCGCATAAGCGGTAGAGTATGTGGTTTAATTCGATACAATGCCAAGAACCTTACTAGGGTTTAACATGTGAATTCTCTCGAAAGAGGGGGTGCCTTTGGGAATGCAACTATAGGTGGTGCATGGTTGTCGTCAGCTCGTGTTGCCTTGGATCGGGCTCTCAGGTCTAGCTTCGACTCGACTTTAGCTAATGGACTTTACTAGTCTTGGGGTCTGATTATTAGTAGTTTAATAAGCTTAATGGTAATCACAACTTATTCTATCAACAATATGTAGTGGTTTAATGATATAGAAAATGACTTATCCTATAAGCTTTTTATGAGAACTTTATGTAGAAAGCTAATTTTTTCCCAAACCTACTTCTCCTAATTAAACAACTTGTTTATTCCATCTATGAAAAGCCCTTTCAAACAAAAACCTTCCTAATATATATAAACATATTAATCCACATAGACAACTTTATCTATATAAGACTCGAACAAATTTTCCAAAATAAATAATCTATTAGTCTGAAGTTCCAAATACTTCCATTTCCAACCGTTTCTCTATTTTGGAGATTACAATTTTAATTATTATAATTAAAAATAAAATATTATTTCTCACTCTTGAACATTTAATTTCAAGATTTCTTGTTAGTAGAAAGAATAAAAAATAATTTATTTTTCCTAAGTAATCACTTTTTAGGAGTTCATATTCTTCAAATTTGGAGAATTTCATCCTCCCTCATACGTTCTTCATCTCGCAGAATCTGTTAGAGTAAAAATATTTAAAATCTTCATTTTAAATAATCTGTTAGAGATGCTTTAACCAGTCCTGCTGTAATTGGTTTCAGTTTGAACCGGTTTTTTAACTGGTATTTTATTTTTTTATTTTGAACTATTTTCTTTATATATTTAGTTACTCTATTAACTTTAGGTTCTAATTATTGCTATAAAAATATTTATCACAAATCCACAATTAAATAATATTTTATTTCTCTGATTATAAATATTTTTTTTTACCATAATTGTTTATTCTTGTATGTTGTAACCGATCAGTCAACTTAAAAAAATGCCATATCTGATCGTCTCTAATTGGTTCCATTTGACCCCTTCAGTAAAATGTCCGTCTCTACTTTGAAAGTTGATGTAGTCGCGCATGCTTCAATAAGCAATTTCAGATAGTTCCGAAAGATTTGGAAGACTGATATACCGTTAAATTCATTAATCGAGTCCTACAAATAAACAAAAAGAAAAGAAAAGAAAGCATAGATGGAAAGTACGTATGTGGTTGTGTTTGCCATAATTGCGATATCATGATTTAAAACGGAATTTTGACATTATTTATATTACTAATTGGAGTCTGTTTCTTTCAGTTATTTCTACCTAAAAAAGTTCATTATAAAACCTAGATAATAATCAGATAACTATTTTTTAAAAACTGAATTTAAAATCAATCTGATTTTCAAATAGAAAACTTGGATATGATAATTGAAAATAACAATTAATTACTACTTTAAAACATACAAATTATTTTAAAACCCATTTAATTTACAAATTTTTATAAAAAATTATTGAAATTTTCTGAAATATTATTCATGTTTTTGCTTGCTGTCTAGTTTTATTATCTATTTATTTACTAAAAAACAAAATAAATACACAAAATCAAAGGCAAAGGTTTGTTTCATATTTAGTAATTATTCTTTCTTGTAACTTGGAAGAAAATATTCATTGTATTTCCATTTTTGTCAAAAATCATAAAAATATCAATTTCTAGATTTTGAAGTTTTTATTGACACCATTTTAAATAATAATGAGTTGGATACCACATCACTCGCCACATCAACATGGTAATCAGTTAATGCTTCAACTAGTTACTCATGTACTTAAATATTTAAAACTTTACATCATAAGTACCAAAATGAAAGTTTTGAAAGTACGTTACCCAAAATACGAATTAAATTAAATTGCGTTACTTTTTAATGTAATTTACCTTATTTAAAAAATACCCTTTTTTGTTTTCATTGAATTTAATGATTTATAGAAACAAAATATTTTCAAAAATCAATAAATTATATAAAAAAGTATTTAGCAAAAGTAAATAATAATATGGAAAAAATGTACTTAAAAGGAATTAAAATCTTTTCAAAAAAAGAAAAAAAAATCTTTAAAAAATCAGAAAAAGAATCATTGTTTCTTTAATTCACTTCTCATTCATAAAAACCTTTGAATTCCCCAATCACAATTAATTCCTACATACGATTCATCATCTTCTTTATCACACATTTTCTGCAACATGTTAATTAATCCCACCATCAAAATGGCAATTCTTCTAACTCTTCTTGTCTTGTTCTTGGATTTCGGAAGATCACAAGGTGGCGGTGGAGGAAGAAGACCACCGTCGGAGTATTGGAGTAGTGGCGGAGCAACGGGGGCGAAGTATCAAACGATCGTTGTCGATCAATCGGGTCGGGGAAACTACACCACCATTCAGGCAGCCATTGATGCCATTCCTTCAGACAATATGCAATGGGTTTGTGTTTATGTTAAGACGGGCTTTTACAAGTATGTATTTTTCCAACTTTTTTATATCGTTTTTCGTAATTCTTTTTTACTCTTCTCACGTGGGATTTATCGGGTTTATTTGATTACGTCATCTATGTAATTGATAATACGACGCACGATTGTGTAACCCGTAACTCAAGATTTCTTGAATTGTCTTCAACTTTCGTTTACGGACCAAGAAAAACCGTTCGAACAAATTCGTTACAAAATCTTCAACATTTCTCTAAAATCGTAAAAATGGAGAATTTAGGTTGTTTTTTGGTTTAATGTATTCTTTAAAACTTTTCTATAAAATATAAAAAGTAGGAGAGAGAGAATTAAATGCTTAAGAGAGAAAAATAACTTTTTTTATATGAAAAAAATTAAAAGATTAATTTATAGAATATTTAAATAATATAATTACGGTTAGAATCTCAGAATATTACTATATTAGGATCTATTAGTAAGTGTAATTTTTTTTATAAAGTTTTAAGTTTTCTTATCTGTTTTAAAGATGGTTATAAGGAATCTGTTCGAGATACTGTAAAAACCAACCAATCTTTTTCTACTAAGACTAATACTTGCACTTTTATGTCCAAACCCGTCTTTTTCTTGGTTTTTTTGCAATCTTTTGTTCAAACCCGTCTTTTTCTTGGTTTTTTTGACCAAACCCATCTTTTTCTTGGGTTTTTTACAATTTTTGGTTCAAACCCGTCTTTTTCTTGAAATTTTTTGCATTTTTTCAAGAAAGGTTGTTTCTTTATAGTAAAAGAATCAAACAAATATAATGCTTGGTTTACCAAGAATAACCTTGATCTTATATGTGGGTTTTCGGTTTTGTTATCTTTTTATATCTCTACAAAAACAATTGATTATTTACAACGATCATTAATTACCTTCATTAACCTTAATCTTACGGGTTTTTTTGGTGTAGCGAACAAATTAAAATCCCTAGTGATAAATCCATGATTTATCTTAAAGGAGACGGTAAAAGAAAAACCTACGTCGTATGGAACTCAAATGACTCCATTGAAACCGATGCCACTTTTACTTCAGAAGCTGATGACGTGGTGGTCAAGAGCATCTCTTTCATCGTACGTATACAAAATCTTTCAGAAATTAATAACAATAGCAAAAAAATTCGACCAAATCCTTTCATTATCACTTCTTGATTTCATTTACGGACGTCCGCGGGGTCATATGATTAAATACGAATCTCTTTTACTACAGAATTCTTACAACTACCCATTGGGAAGCAACGACAACCCTATTGCACCGGCATTGGCCGCCAAGATCTCCGGCGACAGATCGGCGTTTTATCGTTGCGGTTTCATGGGTGTTCAAGATACGTTGTGGGATGTTTCAGGCCGACATTACTTCAAACTGTGCTCGATACGAGGCGCCGTCGATTTCATCATGGGATCTGGTCGATCCATATACGAGGTAAACCGTACAACTAACAAAACCGTCATCTTTAACTGTCTTAAAGTGTTCTTTAAACAAATTTGTGTTGATGTAACATAGATAGATAGATATCATAACCTGGAAAATCTGATGGTGTTGTGATGTTTAATTTTCAGAGGTGTACGTTGTCGGTGATTGCGGGGTTCTTAAGTCCACAACCGGGGTTCATCACTGCACAATCAAGAGACGATGCTAGTGAAACGAACGGGTTTGTGTTCAAAGATTGCAACGTGATCGGAAATGGCACGACGTACTTGGGAAGACCATGGCGAGGCCATGCTCGAGTTCTTTTCTATAACTCAACGTTGTCAAACATTGTCGTTCCTGAAGGATGGCTTCCCGGGGATTTGGATAGCACCACAGAGTACGATTCCAGTCTCTCGTTTATTTTTTAAGTTTATGATATTTATATACGACAAAATACTCGCTCTTAGCCTTTGGCGAGGTTTGAACATCAGACCTTTTCGGAAGCAATCTCTCTCGTTTCGGGCCACTTTCGACTGCTTTTTCTGAACGTTTTTTGTTCGTTGAAGCAGGAACGACTTGATGTTTGCGGAGGACGGTTGTCGTGGCGAAGGATCAGATACGTCGGGGAGAGCGGGGTGGGTAAAGAGGCTGAGCAAGGAGGAGGTATGGAAGTTGACAAGCATGTCTTACATTGATGAAGAAGGTTGGATTAAGGATCAAGCTTTCAACATGTTGCCTTCTTGAATTCTAAGTGCAGTTTTCTTCCTTTATTTTTTTAATCTTTTTATTGGTTAATTTCATAGGTTTTGGGAAGTGTTGATTGGTAGGTTTAGTGTATGTTTGACTGGCTTTCAAGATATATAACCAACCTTAATCATCTTCAAGTATATGTTTCCTTGGAGACGGGTTTCGTATGGGGTCAGTCGGGTTGCCGGTAATTAACCTTCTGCCCAAATTGTGACAACAAACGTGAAAAAACAAGTTTTTGTTCTGTCCAATCACACGTATTTAACGCACCCACGACCTGGTGTTGCCACAATAACCTAAAAGTTGAATAATTTTCAAACAACGCACCGTCGTCACAAATAATCAAGGAGATTGTATGCTCAAAAGAATATGCAATTATGCATAATAAGGATTCATCCTATCGCTACGATACAACAGTTATTACTGATGGAACAAGCCACCGAGAAAGAAAAAACCAACTCGAAGCGAACAAAACGCCAAGAGCGATCAACCAGTTTAAGCATCGATCAACGGCCAGAATTTCGTTAGCTCTTTAGATGTTCGGTCCTTGATTCAGTATACAAACTCATTTCTTGTTGTTCGTATGAATGTTTGTTTCAAGTTTTAAGCGAAGCTGTTTATTTGGTATTGTGGGTTGGAACACTGAGGTAAAATTTGGTATTTATGAAGTCGTCGAGAAGAGGGTTGTATCCATCTTTCGTCTTTGTTTTTGTGGGCAGGCCGAATTCTTCCATAAACTCCGACGTATCAAGCTACATATGCGATCACAAGTAAGTCGCTGCAAATGCTTGATGAAAAAAAATTCATGCAGAATTGTGGATGAACTTGAAAAATTACCGTGATGGTACGCCTTTTCTTTCCTTGTTTGGATGACCTGTCGAAATTCTTGATGCGTGATTTTAACCACCCAGAACTGTAATGGTCGATACGTTCCAAAAGCCAAAAATCTGTTGGGAAAAATATATCAGCATCACCCTGCAAGATAAGAAAGCTCAACATCAGGAAGCAGACATGTCGATTTAGGTTATTTATGAGTACTCCGACATTTTTTGTGGTAAAAACACAGAAACAACACAGAAACCAGACCAATTAAATCCCGTATGTTCCATCCAGAGGTGGGGTCTGGGAGAAGAGATGTAATCAGACCTGACCTCTATCCCGAAGAGCAAAACGGTTGTTTCCACATAAGAACACACACACACGCGCGCGCATAAATATAGGGTTAGGTTCAGGGGGAAAACGCAAAAAAATGAAAAAACTTAGGAACACCCTGGTAACCGTTCATATGTGCATGTGAATACAAGTAATTTGTCCGGTATGCACATGTGCATAACTACACATGCATAAAAACTAAGAAACAACTTCAATTACTTGTATGCACATGCATACCATGATGAATGGTTACGGGGATATTCCTCAATTTTTCATTTTTGGGGGGTTTTCCCATGAACCTCCCTCTATATTATATATATATATATTGGCGAATGATCGTGTGAGAAAAAGAGTTAGGTGAGAAGAATAAAAAAAGATTTGAACCCTTGGTCACTTTTAATCTTATGTCCACCCATGAATTGCGGTTTAGAAGAGAATTAAGATGCACCTCATTAGTGTTGACATTCAATTAGGATTGGTCCAAGGTGGAAATCTCTTCTTACGTTTCTCACTATAACTTCACTTCTTACCGGAACCCAACCCTATATATAAATAGGTTCGGGTTGTGGTGAGAATGGAAGTTATTGTGAGATGGGTAAGAAGGGATCTCCACCCTTGGATCAATCCTAATTGAAGAGAACCACTAGATCAACATGAATGAGATACACTAGATCAATTCCCTTCTAAAGCTAAATTAAAGGGTTCAAATCCCTTCTTACACTTCTCACCTTAACTCTTATTCTCACACGATTCTTCGTCTATATATATATATATATATATATATATATATATATATATATTCTTATTGCATGAAAAATGCAACATCTGAAGGTCCCAACTTGAGGTTACCTATTCATCCACTATCTTAACAAATAAACCGATAGTATTTTAGATATTTGATAAATAATATGTTCCATAAATTGTGTGTCAAATCTAATGTAGCAAGAGTACTTAAAGAGCATGGATATGAAGCAATACCTTGGCATCCAGATATGTGCTATGGTCTGAACTGCTTCCGTCTATCTGCACAGATGCAAGGCAGGATGGTCAATGATAATGTCGCAAACATTAAAAGTATGTTGCCATGAAAAGTTTGAACACCGAAAACTGGACCACATATCATATATATACACATGCATATATATTCAGTGGGAGGTTCAAATAAGAAGGCTAAATATAGTGAGAGCGTAAGAAGGGGAGGCTAAGAAAAGGTTCATATGTGAATTATTGAAAAAATCTATTTGAAGATGCATATGTGAGCCCATATGAATAATCTGTAACGTTGGTTCACATATGCTTCTTCAAATAGATTTTTTTGAGATTTTTTCAATGATTCACATATGAATCTTTCCTTAACCTTCCCTTCTTACCTTCACACACATAGATATATAGATATACACACAGAGCCATAGATATATACACACACATATATGGATTCTGACAAAATATTTGAAGAACTATGTTACAATGTTACTCAATGAGATATGTAGAATATGTACTTACCTTGGTAGAAACCAATGGAGCTCTTTCACCAGGTACTTTGACATCAGGAAGGTAGCTGAAATCAGCAGCAATCATCGACATCTTTGGCAGGGCTCCATGTAATGTTTGTAAAAGTTTCTGAAAGTCATATGAAGCTTTATTACTACGAATAGATACAATAACAGAATCTTGCCTTCATTAGATTTGAAACAAAACTGACTCTTACCAAGCAACCAGTCGGTAGCCAAGATCGTCTAGGCTTTGGAAAGATTTTGGCCCAGATGTTGCTAGGCAGTGAAGCATCCCTAGTTCCTTGGGGTCTAAAATCTTTGTCCACATTCAAGATATCCAAACAACTTTTGATCAGGAGATCTTGCATTGGCTTATATAACTCCGACAATTTAGACCTGCTTAAGCATAAAGCCACATAATCATTAGAGAAGGAAACCAAGGGAATGTTTGGTTGGTATTCCATCAAGTTCTGTATGAATAAAGCTGTTTGTGTGGAACTGTGGATTAATCTGTCTGTATAGATTGGGAAGGTTTTTGTTTAGAAGGGTTTTTTCATAGATGGAATGATCGATTTTTAAAGAGAAAAAGTTTAGAAAAACCCAACGAACTATCTCATTTTGAATGATCAAGTCCTTGAACTATTTTTTTGAATGAAAAAACCATTAAACTCTCTCATTTTGAATGATTAAGTGACCAAACTATTTTTTGAATGAAAAAACCATTAAACGTCCTCATTTTGGATGACTAAGTCCCTAAACATTAAAAAATATATATAAACCATCCAACTTCTAAAAATCGGTTACTTGCATCATTTTAACCAAAAAAAACTACTTGTAACCGACTAGAAACGTCTTAAAGTAAAAACTACTTGTAACCTCCTAAAAATAGATTATAAAAAGGGAGATTGATGGCAGAGGCTAACAATGTGATAGTCAATATGAAAAACGGACAACGATGGGGCGACAAGGAGTGGCGAGGATGAGTGATACAATTGTTTGCGAGGGATTTAAAGGGCGTAGGATTTGGAAACAGTAAAATTGATTTAGATATCTTTTTTACTTTAAGACCTTTCTCGTAGGCTACATGTAGTTTTTTTTTTATAAAAAAGGTTCTAGGTAACCAATTTTTAAAAGTTCAATGGTTTATTTATTACAAAAAAAAATATTTGGGGACTTAAATCATTCGAAATGAGAAAGTTTAATGGTTTTTTCATTCGAAAAAACAGTTCAGGGACTTGATCATTAAAATGAGAAGTCTAATGGTTTTTTCAATCAAAAAGTTAATTCATGGACTTAATCATTCAGAATGGGATAATTTGTTGGGTTTTTATGAACTTTTCCCTTTCTTTAACTAGGAGGGGAAGGTTTGGAAAAAACTTGGCTTTATGCATAAAGATCCCCTTAGAAGCTTACTATATATGCCACTCCCGGTACTATTAAGCCACCACCAAACAGTCATGGATAGCTGACCGAATAAGCTGAGGCTCATTAAGCTGCTAACAAACAGGCCTAAATGTATTAGGTAAGTCCCTTTTCTGTTTTTGCCATTTAACATTTTCAAGTTTTGGGTTCAACTATATGGTGTAAGCAGAGAAGTGGATTCTATGCATAATACATACATACCATATTCTCACATTCTCCATTTTCCATTTTATGGGTCCCATCTCAGTTTATCCTTGCTTCGAGTAAATGGAACCCAGAATTACATCTTTCTTTTATCCTTACACCACAAAAGCTATATAATCCACAAAGTGAAAAGTGTTCAACATCTAGTATCTTAAGATTCTGAAAAGTGTAATTGTTTTTGGAAGGCACAATCTAAAAGGGCATGCTTTAAGAGCAGATAGAAGAGTGTCAATGGCCTTAAACGGTTTCCCTCGTCACATAATTGTGCAGGCACAGACAAGTCATACATGATATTAACAGCAAGAAAAATGTAATTGTATCATATATTTCAGATTAAAAAATTCAGTATAAGTGTATAACTAGCTATATCTATTCACCTGTCTTGTTGCTTTTCTACCCAAACCTCCATCCATGGTGAAACTTGATTTTCCGAATAAATAAGGTCATGTGGAAGATTATCAAGAACCTACAGAGCAAAGAGAATGGGAAAAAGCTAAATGACCAGGTGGCAAAAGCACAACATAGAGCTGCTGTACATTGATTCATTCATAAACTTTTTTTAAGCAATTTATCAGTAGAGGAAATGTAGATAGAACCCACCTCAAGCATTATAACCCAGCACGGTTGTTGCTCTGCATCCCCTGTTTTAAGAGCAAAACTATTAATTTTCCAACCGGTTCATGGATACTCAGACAAGAGAAAGTCCAGCTGCACAATCTAACAGCAAAACAGAACTTCCTCAAAGCTTCATTAGGTACACATAAATTTTTTAAAATTATAACAAGAAATTAGAGTTAAGAAAGGTTCTATAAACTGAGGGCAGTGACAGTAGTATATACCCCATCCGCTAGGATCAGCAGCATCACGACATTCTACTCTGAACTTTGACAAGTGACTGCTAACTTCTCCAACAGTCTCCAACTGTTTCTTGGCCAATGAAGAACTAATTTCTACTGAACTGCAGAAGATCAAATGGTTCTTCATAAAACTAAATAATAAATCTCAAATAACTTGGAAACTTGATAAAATTTGGCACATTACTCGTAAGAATTTGCATAACATTGATAGTTGGTCAAGTTAAGATTCAAGTAAGTTATATATACTATATGCATATATGTGAATCAAGCTCGTAATCTACACCATAAGCTGATGGAGGACAATCTGATCATTCTAAACAGAAAGTACCAAGCTGGAGATTGTAGACAAACTGTAGCAAGCAAGCCTAAGAACATGACCAAAAAGAATCTTAACGTGGAAGACAAGTGTGATAAATCTGACTAAGTAAATAACAGTTTCACTCCTTAAATGAACATCACAATCCCTTCATGACAACAGAGTTTTGATACTTGCAACTTCTAGAGAAAAGACACTGCACATACGTGTATGACATGCTATTGTAAACTCGTGTGGGTGCATTCAACATTATGTAATCCATTATGCCCTTTGCACAAGTTCCTGATCCACCTCCGATTTCATAAATCTGATGCACAACATTAGAATCAAGAGTTAACCTCAACATGCATAGCAAGATAGAAACTTACTTCTTCTTGTTCTTTATCTTGTTAAAAAAGACAGAACAAAGCAAATCAATAAATAGACTTATCATGGCAAACTTCATCTTTCAAATTATTATAAAACAATCAACTCACCTTTAGTGGAAAAGAAAGATTAGTTGTTCGCAAAATTGCTTCAGCAATCCCGTGGGCATACCAAGGCTACAGGGGGATAGGTTGAAGATGTCAGATGGTCACACATATAAGATATGATAACTGAGAAAAATAACGGTCTGGAGAAGGTGCTATTCTTCATCCACCTGACATTGGCTCGCTTATTTATTTTAATATACTTAAAAAATGCTCGTTAAACTTGAAATGGACAAATATCTCAGATTCCACATCTTTGCCTGTTTCTTGGTGATCTATTTATGGTTATATAATGTAACCTTCAACACAAACTACCACATTCGTAACTACATATAGATGTGTCATACTGTCATTGACCATTTCTGAGCTAGCAAAACTGGCTATGATTGTAGATAGCACTAGGCTCATCAAGCTGGATGAAGAACAAGAATCCACTTCTATGATCAAGGTCACATATTTCATTAACCATAAAACAAATGCGCGTCACCTTGACACCCCAAATCAAACAGAAAGATGGCCTAATGAAGGGTTTATATTTGCATACCATTATGAAATTACCAAATTACACACAGATGCATGTATGTCTTTTGTTAAAGAAATCAGTTCGGGTGTATGCCATATATACCTTGAAAAGCTCAACTGGAGTAAACCAAGAAACATCATTTTGCTTGTAAATTTTTTCCAAATGCGACATGTAATCCTTCCTTCCTGAAAAAGTCCACCAGTTCAGGTGTTAATCATAAACTCAGCATGTTCCAAGTTCCATGTTACATGCATTCATTTAGCATGTGAGAGTGTGACAGTTCTGTGTGACATAAACAAGCAACAGGATGCAGTTATATGGAAACATCAAAAATGACTTATTTGAGGTATAAACTCCATATGCTCAGCTCTTTTTGGCCTATAGATGACACAATGACCTTACAGATCCATATAAGATGATTAAAAGCTATACATCACTCAGAAAATTGAACAAGTTTGTCGAACTCAACCTTTTATCCCAGTTATATGGAATTATAAATTTGAAACTTCTGGGGAAGTAATGAATGAGGGTAAAGTTTGAAGCTTGTATAACTCCACACCTCATGAATGACGCCCATAGTAGACCAATATCTTACCAACTTAAACACCATATATACTTCAATGTGTATAATACGATTGTAAAGAGTTGCCAATGATTATCAAAAGCCCTGATACAAATCACTGCTGTATGCAACAGTTTGACATCCATGAATAGAACATAGTTAAATATGTAATACCTTGAAGTTTATGAAAGTTAATGCTCCTGTCAAGCACTCCAACAGATCTTGGGCTTTGAGAAAAATAGCCATGATCAGGATGATACAATGCCGAGTGTATAAAGTCTCTAACCTATTCAATCAAACGAAAATGATCACCATAAAATTCATTTCCACGGTTATGTTCCACAACATAGAAATTCACTTCCTATTTCTTGCCACTATCAATCCATCTGCAATTGATCAGATTAGAGGGAGATAAGGGAACATACGAGAACAGGATCATCACCAACGAGTTTTGTGGAGAAAAATGCCGAAAATCTAAATTGTCTGCAAGAGCTGACTGGAAAATGCGAATTAAAGCAAATTTCATGAGAGCAAAAGAAACGACAGAAAAACTTGCGAATGGGTGGATGGAGATGGAGATGGAGATGGAGATGGAGATACCTGTATTCGGTCTGTGAAGAATGGTGCCGGGATGAAGAAGAGGACGACTGTATCTGTATGTATACGCCATCTCCGTCGTCTGGTGTTCGTCGCCGGAGATTGGGGTTGAACGAGGGTTTTTGGATTTCAGGGTTTTCTTTTCCAATCTTCCACTTTCTTACAGAATCATTCTTATGATTTATCCAAAATTAAATTTTAAAAAAAAATTATCTTACACCATGTAAATATAAATAATTTTTTTAGATTCAACTTTATTTTTATTTTATGTAACGTATTTTTAAAATTTTTATTTTGGTATTTAAGATGTAAAGTTTTAATTATATGGATAACCAGTTGAAGCATTAACTGATTACCATGTTAATGTGACGAGTGATATGGTATAACAACTTGTCACACGTTAATAGAAAATGAAGTTGGCGACCTTTCTATAGAAACTTACGTGACGTTGTACATATAAACAGTGACATATCCAGAAACTTACGTAACATAAGAAAATCCGAAACCAATAACTCAACCGAACTAGAGCCGTTTCAAGTTATTCGGCTTGCGGATTTAATGGTTCGGTTGACCGAATAAGGAAAGTTTTAGTTTTGATTTTCTTTACTACATTAGCGAACCAACTAGCAAATTACACTATTATTTAATTCATATAATTTTCTTCTAGATAAATTGGTTAAACTGATTTATTTTTAAACTAAAAGAACAATAACTTAAGATATATTAGAAAAATCATCAACAAACGTTATCATTGCAGTACGATTGCAATAACTAACGGTAACAAAACAATCAATACGGAAACAATTGTTAAACAAGACATTGGAGGATTTCGTCAATACATACTAGACCACCGATGAAACAAATGATATCATATCCGTCTCTGTACTTGAAATAATGGGGAGTGCTAATGGCACCCCCTTTCATGTCAGAATCAGGTCATTCAAGCATTGGGAATGTAAAAAGCATGTATTGATGTTGATGTGTATGAGGAAGAAATTCATGGATTGGGGTGCATTTAGTCCACCCCGAAATAATTGGCATAAAAACATTGTTTATTTCCAATTATTAAAAATATTTAAAAATAAAAATAATTTATGATTTTCAATAATAATTATTTATTGGTTAAATACTTAAATGATGGGTTTTAATAAATATTTAAGAGTCATCACATGGGGTAGTTGACATAATATATTTTTTTGCCTGAATTTAACCAACCAATGTTTTTTTAATTCACGTTTTGTTGCTAAAAATGTGCACTAAATAGTATAAAAATCTATTAGGGGTTATTTACAAACATTTATTTGATAAGCGTTTGTCGGTAAAATTTAACACTATCATTGACTTACTGTGTAGATTTTAGTTCAATAAAACGATATCGTATGCAACAATTTACCCAGTAAGAGTGGTCGCCCTTTACTTACCGAGTAAGACTTTTGATCCTTGTTTTACTCTTACCGGGTAAGATTATTGTCTTTTACCATGTTCATCCAATAAAGTAATATCACTTGATAAACATTTACCCAGACGTTTCGTAAATGACCCGAATGAAGAACAAGGATGATATATGATAATTTTTAATTTATTGTGCAAGACCCATTAATATATAAACCATTATAATGGACTTAATCATTCGAAAACTTTATAATCTATTGTTTTCGTGAGGTTTATTTTAAACCATTAATTTAAGATAATTAATATATTTGTTAAGAAAAAAAATCAAATTCCATAAATACATGCACACAGATTCATAATTGAATATATACATAAGGTGAACACATTGATAACACGGTGAAAAGCGTGTTCACAATGTGTTCAAAGATGGTAGATTTATATTTAATTTTAGTTTTGTTGTTTAGTTGATGTCCAGATACCAGATATACCGGATACCGTAAATTTATAGTGTATTCAGAATATATTCACAGACTATAATAGTATCCTGAAAAAATTCACATCGTGTAGGTCTTGTGTGCGTATTTACTGAAAGGGGAAGATTCCCCAGACAATTTTATAAAGACAGTAAAAAAGTCACCAAAACAATACAATCAGCAAGAGAAACTACGGCAACCTTGACTCACAAACCAAGTCATAAGGAGCCAAAACAGACAAAGGGAAATACACCAAAACATAACAACACCAAAAGCCAACAATAAAAAGGCAAAAGAAACCCAAAAGAGCCAATACCGAAAATACACACCACCCACGAGCTCACATGCCATTTGGATTCCTAATCTTCTTCCTTGTCTTCCACGCCATTCGATGAAGAATCAGCATCTTGATCTCCGTAATAACCTTATCCTCCGAAAGATTGAAATTGGCAAAGAACTTCCTGTTCCGCTCCCTCCAGATAAGATARACCGTTGCTGAAAGACCAAGTTTTTGGACCGTAGACCGAGATCTCCAATTTTGAGTGGACCCTCTCTGAAGAATATCCTCCCAATTGTTAGGAAAATTCAGTAGTCCCACCTCCCTTTTAATAGTGTCCCAAATACTGCTGGAATACTTGCATTCAAAAAATAGGTGATTGTGCGTTTCAATCACAAGGTTACAAAAAAACACACTTTAAATCTGGCGGTTCATGCTTCCATTGACGAATACGATCTTGAGTTGGCAGTTTCATCTGACATGCCATCCACATGCAAAGAGCATGTTTAGGAACGTAAGCTTTATTCCAAACAAGTTTATACCAATGCACAACCGGCTTCACCTCTTGGATAGTATTCTACACCCTTTTTACCTCAAAATCACCCCGTGAAAGTTTGTTATCAAGCCAGCTAACCTTATCTTCCTCTTGACTGGGATCCGGAATCATAACACCGTGCAGCTGAGGATATTGTTGAAGCCAATCCACCGGCCAAYTAGTACCAAAACGTTGCATTACGTCAGATACCGTGGAGTTATTGTGAAATCCCTGGCCATTTATGAATCTATAAGTCAGGGATTGGATGAGAGGGCCCGACTCGCTCCAAGTATCTTCCCAAGCATGAGTAGATAAACCATTGCCCACATTATAGATAAAGAATCTCCKGCAWTGAGATCTTAAGTCTAAAAGGCTTCGAAGAATCCACGACCACTCATTYCTCTTCTTGATAACCCAGAAATTACGGCCCTGGACACAATGAGACTGAATCCAAGA